ATAAAATAATTTTTGAATGAAACGGAAAACGTTCTGCACCTAATTCCATACTAAACCATTACTAGTTTGATATTCAAAGTTAAAAGAGATTCCTTCTGACACAAAATAAAATAGGTAGCTAGGTAGGCAAATATGTTAGTAGTTATACTACAAAGACTGCATATTTATAGACACGTGACAAACATGCACGAGCCACGGTGAACTTTTAATGATTTTTGAAATTTAAATTTACATTCCAAAATATTTATAATAATAATATAAAAAAATGAAAGCAATAATAACCACCACTTATTAACGACAGCCAAAACTAACTCGTAACCTTGAATATTTTAGGCATGCACCGCAAGTCGATTGAAGCGGCGGACCAGCTGAAAGATGACAACACTGTATGCAGCGGTGCCAGCCAAAAGAGTGACAAGGAGGAAGACGAGGACGACGAAGAGGACGACGAAGATGACGACGAGGAGAACCACCCCTGCAAGAGGCCGGCCAGGACGAGTCCGGAGACTGCGACGGACATGTCGTCGCCACAGCGGCATCAACATCAGCAGCAGCAGCAGCAGCAACAACAACAAGACGCTGCAGTCGCACAGGACCGACAGCAACAACAGCAGCAGCAGCAGCAGCAACAACAACAGCAGCAGCAGCAGTGCGCGGCCAACGCTGAAGCTCACCGACGGATTCAGCAAGAAATACAATCACAGATGGAGCAACACCACGCGGCCGTTATGCAGCTGGCCGCCAACCGGGCACAGGACTCAGAAGAGTTCCGGAACAACAGCATCGCGTGCCTCAGRGCCAAGGCGCAGGAGCACAGCGCCAAGATACTCAGCCTGTCGGCGGACGCCCTCATGTTGGTCAACAACAACGGCGGCGGATTTCGCAGCCGGAACGCTGCAACCGCTGTAGCCGTGGCTGCGGCCGCTGCGGCAGCCGCCGATGTGGCCATGGCGTCGTCCGGTGGTGGCCAAATGTTGGCTGACTGCGACGCCAACGCCAACAACGTGAGGGGCGTGAACCACCACCAACAGCAACAGGCGGTCGGCTCGGACATAATGGTCACGTCTTCCGACACATCGTCGTCAATGTTCTAATCAAATAATATACTGCTAAACATGTTATGTATTTTATTATTATTATTATGTACATTATATTATTATTTAATAAATAAATATTATAATTATTTAGAGTAGCCGCGCGTAAAATACAGACATGACGGAGAGAGGTATAACGAAATGAGGACGTTTTGGTTTCAGTTATATTACAGTTATTGCAGCTGYTTAGCTGCAGGTAATCTATTTATATCGCGTTATATACCAGAGAACTGCAGATAACTTGCTAAGCGGGTGTCAGCTGTAGTAGGTATACTACCCAGAACTAAGCCTAATGAYTTATGCCTACATTATGATGATCATCGTCAGCATCTCGCTATCGGACTTCGATTAAATATCTTTTTGTTTATGCAATACATTTTCAAATATCCAATGCGTCATTTAGCCAACGGTCAGACAGTTGCAGCGGGTTTACAAAAAATTCCGGCGGCGCAAACACTCAAAAGTAATATGTGATTGTAGGGAAGCCACGTGCACCAGCATATCAAATACCTCTACCCCCTTCCCACCTCAAATCAACAATTAGTCACAGAAAGCCCATAATATTGTTATAATAACAAGTGAAATCTAAACGTATCACATTATCTTCAAGTATTGTTAGCAACTTCTAGTCCAGACTATTCAACTCGATTTTAGACATGCGCACCACTACCGCCATCACCTATAGGAATATTTTCAAAACGAAACGAAACTAGTGTAAAATGCAATAGTGTCCAAACACATTAGTTAGTTTATGATTTAYATGGTATATTATAAATTAATATGTTTCGTTTTGAGGAGAAAAAAACTCTTCAATGCCTTTTCTTATAAGTTATAACTAATGATATGTAATCATGTAATCGTCTTAGTCTCCACATGACTCTCATGCTGAATGTACTCGTACAACATCAATGTGATTTTCCTCTTACACGTGCTCAGATGAAGATRGCTGAACTAAAATGACTAAAAATATATACCTCTCACACGATTCGTAAAGCACAACAAAATTGACGAATATTAATCGAATACCTACACGAGTTGTGTGAGATCGGCTTAATATACGTTTAGTGAGAAAAACTAACCGTATAACATGCACATAATATAATATTTACAGCCGAATGATTTTTTTAGGTTACTTATTTGATTACCTTTTCTTTCGACCTCTCAGTTACACTCTAGTCGCTAAACAGAGGGGCATGATGTTTAGAAATATAGCGTAACACGATGGGTGAGATTGAGGAATGATTACGGATTTATAAGACCTTTTTCATATTTTTATGTTATATAACTATATCTGTTTTGAGTTTTTTTTTCACAAAACCCCTCGATGGTCAGTTTAAAAGTTAATTAATACTATTCATTGACACATTTGTTCGCTAAATTATATTGTCATTATTATTATTATTATTTAAACATATTGAACAATACAATTTTTTGTTTGTATCTATTGTATTATTAGATATATTATATCATGTATAATATTATGTATAATATTGATTTAAATATGTGTAGCTAAAATTATTATTATAACATGTAAATGCGCGCAGTCTCTATAATATTTGTGTACATATTTTGTAAAGATAATTTATCGTGTGTTGTTATTTAAAATTTATATTTATTATACCCATACGTACGTGCAATAATTCGTAATTTTTGTTTCTTTTTTTTACATTTTCTTGTACAAATCAACTTTTCTTAGCTCGAAAAACTACATTTTATTGCGCATTTTAGACAGTAAGAATATTATATTTAATTACGCTTGTTACAATAAATCACCCACTCATATACGTCCTTTTTCTCATTATACCTGTAGTAAATATTAAAAATATCGTATTATTGTAATAATGCTCTATATCTCGTTTTGATTTTTGTCCATTTTTTTTTTTTTTTCACATATTGCTCTCATATGTACTTTCATATTCATTTTTAGTGCCNTTATTGTAATAATGCTCTATATCTCGTTTTTTTTTTTGTTTATTTTTTTTTTTTTTTTGATCTCATATGTACTTTCATATTCATTTTTAGTGCCGTATTTTATAGGAGAATGTGTTCCACTTGGTAACAAAAATGTATTATGTTTAATATATTCTGAATAGGACATTTTATGTTTAAAGTTATATTATAATAATATTACATTTTAGATTTATATTATATTGATGCTAACTACTGACATAAAAATTACGGATACTAATGTTTTTATCATTCATAATCATTTGAAATATAATTTGTTTGATGAAAATGAGTATATATTATAATTATATACATATTACGTATTATAAAAATAATTTATTGAGTTCATATGCTACTATATTGACATGACATATATGTTGTAGATCATACACCTATGTCCTATATACATCATAATATGTATTATATCAGTGTTGTCTTAACAATACAAATGATGGGCATAGATAAACCATGAATCTTTTCTCCCAATATTGTAAAGAATATAAACTATAAATTATATTTTGAATGATAAAATAGTACGTCAAAATCARATCCTCCCCTCCTATCATAGAATCATTCGACTACCAAAGACCCATATGGATATTTAACATGCATATTATATCGGATCATAGTTTGTTTCGTGAAAACACGACAAGGACAACGTTTACATCTATCTCACGAAATGGGACCCTGATGATACCTTATAATTTAATAGGATACCTATATAAAAACTATGGATAACTTAAATTGTTCTATCATTTAGATATCTATATTTTATACTGACACAGTTAAATATTAAACTTTACAATCTAGAAAATAAAACGGATTTCGTATTTCATATTTTAATTGATTTGACTATTCTTTATTATTAATTTTATAATAAATCTTATAAATGATAACGTCATTATATAAACATATTATAATGTATTAACAATGTCTGTATCAAAACGCAYGAAGCGTATTAAGCGTGATAAAAATTCTAAGAGCCGTAGACACGTATTTGGGTAACTGGTCTATCCCTTCAAGGAGCCTATGAATAATAAAATATGTACGATATGTSTTCTTATGTAAATTTCAATAGCTTACTTAATCTCAGATAATTTTCGGTAAATGATTTGGAAAATAAATTAGAGGTTACCTTATAAAAMATTCAACATTTGCTTTCCTTCCTAATTAAAATACAAATAATAAGTATCTAACTTGTGGGATTCAACCTCCCCTCCACTAACGGTAAACATATTATGAACTTTCTGAAACCTTCGTTATTAAAAAAAATCTATATAGGTAAAGACGATTGAGTTTCATATTTATATTATGTT